GGGATTTTTTTTTTTAGAAAAATTCATAAATTTGAAGGATTTTGGTGTCTGAAAAGTTACAGAGAATGATTTAATAAGAGCTTAGTTTATACCTTGTTTGATGCTTCACTTTAAATACCTAACAGATGAAACAAAGATTATTTATAAAAATTGGGATACAGCCACAAGTTTTTGACTGCTTTGTGCCTTAGTATCATCTATTGCTGGTTGAGACTAATACTTTTCCTCAGCCTACACCGGCTGTCTGTGCTCTGGATTCCTGTGGCACTTACTAGTCTGTTATGTACAACTCTCTTTGCCACCTTCGTTGCCGTATGTGTATAAAGCAGGTAACAAGAATCTCAGTGGCCTGGGCAACATGACAAAACCTCATCTGTACAAAAGATACAAAAATCATCTGTGGTGGCAGATGCCTGTAGTTCTAGCTGCTCAGGAGAGTGAGCTGGGAGGCTCCCTTGAACCCGGGAGGTGAAGTTTGTTGTGAGCTGAGATTGCGCCACTGCACTCCATCCTGGGCGACGGAGTGAGACCCAGTCTCTTAAAAAAAACAAACAAAAAAACAATCTTGGGTTCAGGTTCATCCTTAAGTACTTGACCTGACCTTCCCAGCATACATCCAGATTGATTATACCCTATACCCTACCTGTTTTCTAAGTAAGATGTGGAGATAAATGAGAGTGTACATTTGAAAGTCTTTAAAATTATAGGTATAGTGTCATGTTATAAATAATACTAAGAGTAAGAAATGACTTAGGCATCACTGACTGTTTCCCGTTAGGCTTGTTTCTCTTTGTACATGAAATCACCTGTTAAGTTGATAGTAAAGCTACGTTTGAGGCAGGGTTGTTCACATATGGCAGCAAATCTTGTGGGTGCACATTTATAGTGAGAAAGATCCTCATTATAGACAAAACTGCAGATATTTTCTCATAGGTGTTTCTTAAAAATTAAATAATTTCTTTTACTAAATGGTCTTGACTTCATGTAATTAAGAAGTAATCTGTTTATTCTGCATGTTTTTATATTGATTGTAAATTAATTTTGCTTACAGATTTATTCCAGCCGAGACCTTGAGGAATCCATAAACAAAATTAGGGAAATACTATCTGATGACAAGCATGATTGGGAACAGAGAGTAAATGCTGTAAGCTGTTGACCTCATGTGATTACATTTTCATAAGATGTATTTAAATATCTCATACTTTATTATGAAATCAGGGCACAACTCTAATGAATTTTAAATAGTATATATTTTAAATACAAATTATCGTATTTACACTTCACCCTTTTAGTAGAGTATCTCCTTTTATTTTTATTTTGGAAACACACCAACTTAAACCTTTATGAATCATCCAGTCTTTTAACAAAGACCTAACTGTGGAGTGTATGGTGACAGCCTCCACTCTCACCTTAGGAGAAATTTCATTCTGTGATTGTTTGCCTTTCAAGTGGCTTTTTTGTGGCAGTTTTAGTATATGTCCCCCAATATTCTTTTCTTTCTTCATATCACTTGCTAGAAAGTTGTGTCTCCTTTATTTTTAAAAGTAGGTTAATGGAAAGTGGGCTGGGCGTTAAAGCGAGGGTGTGTCTGATCTGAGAAGGCTATTTTCTACTGGTTGGCTGGCAAGAAGGGAGGTGGTACCATTGCCATTGTATTGTATTTTAAATTCAGACCAGCCAGTTAATGGTTCGGTGGAGGATAATGGTAGGAATGGTAGGAGGATAATGGTTCAGGTAGGAATGCTGCTTCCTTTGGTTCATTAAATAAATGGCAGTTGAAGTGGGGTGTTGAGGGGGGGATAAGCTTAGGAGGGGCTTTTCACAAGCCAAAAGTTTTTAGTTATTTATCATTAGTGTTGTAGGATCTATAAATACTTTAAGATATTTCAAATGTAAAACGTTTTTTGCAGAAATTACAATATATGTGTCACAAATACTCCAGTTAAAAATTATTTAGTCTTATTTGTGGTATGTAGATTTGTTTATTGTATTAGCTAATATTTAACTGGCTGAATTCTTTTGGGAAAGCTTTCTAATCAGTTGAACTTAAACAATTATCTCTTTTGTATTTGATGGCTTCTGTTTTGTATATTCTGTGTTAGAATTGTTTTCTGTTTTTCTGAATTTTCTCTATTCCATTAGCTAAAAAAGATTAGATCTTTACTTTTGGCTGGTGCCGCTGAGTATGATAACTTCTTTCAACATTTGCGTCTTTTGGATGGAGCCTTTAAACTCTCTGCTAAGGATCTGCGGTCTCAGGTAGTGCGGGAGGCTTGTATCACGTTGGGGTAAGGACTGCGACGCTCCATATTCTCACCATAAAATAGTGTCACCACAGAGCTTCAGAGATGTCTCCTTGAACTTGTGAGCTGGGTCTCTTTAATGTAACTTCTGACTAGTCTTCAAGACCCATTCCAGTTAACACTTCTGTCAGTGGTTTTACAATACTTTTTGCTCAATTATGTGAAGTGTGACAGATTTTAAATTTTATTTTATTCAGTGATATAGCTCTGAAGCCTTTATTTCAAACTTTGAAGCAGTTATTAATATGGAAAGATGAAACTCTATGAAATCCTGTTTCTCTGATTTTTCATTGATTTTTGCTGGCAGGCAATAGTGTGGTTATCAGAATGTTTGTTCCTAGAAGAGTACTGTAGTTATAAAGTTAAAGGCATTTACTGCAGTAAAATTTTATTCTAGCTATATGTGTACTAGTGATCAAAGCTAATAAGACTTTGTGTTAGAATGTATCTCAGAATATCAAAGCAGCAGCAGCAAGAGGAGGCCTCGCAGCTGTTTAAAGTTTTGGCTGCAGTCAGATTTTGAAGCCTGAATATTTTATGTTAAGATAAAAGAAAAAATATGAAAAAGGAGCCAAGGGTGCTTTTTCATATTTGTGTTTTATTAATATATCATCAGTTTGTTTGGTATTTTCAGACTAGTTGGGGCAGGTGGGCTGGTATCTGCCTGGAGTCCCTTCTACTTGGAAAGCCAAAGTGGGAGGATTGCTTGAGCCCAGGAGTTCAAGTTCAACGCGGGCAACATAGTGAGATCCTGCCTCTAGAAAACAAAAAGCTCCACAAAGACTAGTTGGAAATTTAAAAAAAAAAACAAAAAAACAAACAAAAAAACACTTTTGGGCTAAGAACTATTTGCCAAGTTCTCACCATGCACATCGGAAATCTTAGACCCTTGTCCTTTCTAGATAACTTTAAATGAAGGCTCTAGATGTTAAATGGTTTATGTGCTTCACTGTTTCTAAGAAAAATAACTACAGTCCAGTATCCATTTCTTGTTTTAGGCATCTGTCATCAGTTCTGGGGAATAAGTTTGACCATGGAGCCGAAGCCATTATGCCAACTATCTTTAATTTAATTCCAAACAGTGCCAAAATTATGGCCACGTCTGGTGTTGTAGCTGTTAGGTTAATTATTCGGGTAAGTATGTTATAGGCCATACATGAAATAAGCAAGTGGTAAATACCGATGGTTGATAAATATTAGAGGCATTTTTGTTAACATAATTATATTGAGTAATTAAATTTATTAGCATAATTATATTGGAATTTTATTTATATATATATATATCATCTTTTCCCCCTACTTAATTGTGGCATATGAGCTTTTTATAATCCATAATGTGAATTATGGATGTGTTATAAAGTTAATGAGGTATTGATCGTTAGCTCACTATTGGTTTAAAATATTCGAACATCCGGTGTCTGCTTCTGAGATTATATTGTATTCTTGTTACTTAGGTATTACTCTCAGTCTTAACCTCCTTAATCCCAGTCCTTCCATTTTAGGTATTGGTACTTGTGGTTTTGCTGTTCACCCAAAAGTTCAATTAATTGCACATAAGCACAGAAACAAAATATTCTCTTTGGTTAGATTTTCTAGGCACTTATTTGTTCAAATTTAAATAATTATCCAAGTAATTTATACACAAGTTTTTAACAAGATCTAATAGTTCACAAAGGTTTAAAATGGTTTTCCACGTTACCTCCCCACCACTTTCAAGTCCTTTTTGCCCAGAAGCAGCTCTTGAAGCTTTGAGGCTTGATAATATTGTCTAAAGTCTATCCAGAATATTCTTGATTATTTTGGTTGTTTACTTTGTATTATTAGTTCTTACTGTTCTTACTTGCACTGCCTACTTTAACTGTTAAACCCAAGGTCATTATTGGACATTTCCGTTGAAACAATATCAAAATACATTGGTCTGATGACTCCTTTCAAACCCACTCAGATCTCTACAGCTGAGATAATTTAGACCTCATAGTAATGATTGTTTTAGGCTTACCTTCATGTCATCATGTTGCCTGTTCTTAACTCTGTAAATTTTCTAATGCCTTTTGACAATATCCTATGAATTATTTTTTCTTTTAAAACTCACTGACATTCTAATCTGAATGTATATGTGCTATATAAGTAGATTAGTGAGGAAGTGATTCTTTTAATTTTGTTTTACTTTTGTATTTGCAAGTGTTCACCTCTGTTTTTTGTTGTTCTTCACAGCACACACACATCCCTAGGTTAATACCTGTCATAACAAGCAACTGTACCTCTAAGTCTGTCGCTGTTAGAAGGTAAATTTTAAAGGGTTTTCTCATTGTTTTTAAATTGTTTAAAAACCAAAACAAATTCCAAATCTCCTTCCATGGATAAAATTTCATGTTTAAAATGCTTAGTATTACTTAAAATCACTGCAATAAATGATTTTGAGTTGAAGAATCAAGATCTAAATATTTTGGGAAATGAATGTGGACAACCTCTATTATGTTTCTGTGTGTGTGTGTGTGTATGTGTCTGTGTGAGAGAGAGTGAATTTGGGGGCTAGTGGCAGAAGGAGAAGGGGAGAGGACCCCCTGTACATTTTTTTCCTGTGATAATCCTCCTACCTTTGTCATTGGTCTGCCCTATTCCCTGAGTAAAAGCAGTAACTGCATGCAAGAAAAAAATACCGTAAACATCAATGGCAGTAGTTTCATATTTGAAAGGTAGGTGTTGTTTGCATCTTCTGTTTAGCGATTTTTGGGATTCTGAATCTTCACTATTACTTAGTTCTGTGCAGTTGTGGGAGATATATCCAGAAGACGCAGGCAAATACAACCTGGGTAACTAGCTAGGGGTTTGTTCCCAAGTCCCTGTCTTATATGTGCTGGTGAGCTGCCCTAAACTATGTGTGAGGAGTAAAGACTGTGTTATTTTAGCTCAGACCTGTGAAAGAATCCTTCACTGTAAGATTTAGAGCCCGGATGACTTTTGCTAGCTGTTTGCCTTTTTCCCTGGGGTGTCATGTTGATCCTGCTGGGTTTCTATGGGTACAAGACCCTCTTAAGCATGCAGCAGCTCTGGATTTGTCGTTTTAAAATTTATTTTATTATTTTTAGCAAATTGGCCACAGACTGCCTTTTTAAAAATTTTCTTTCCTTTCCTTTTCTTCTTTTCCCTTTTGTTCTCTTCCCCTTTTCTTTTTCTTTCCTTTTTCCTTTCTTATTGCTTTCCTTTCTTTTCTTTTCTTTTTTTTTTTTTTTTTTTTTGAGACGGAGTCTGGCTCTGTTGTCCAGGCTGGAGTGCAGTGGCCGGATCTCAGCTCACTGCAAGCTCCGCCTTCCGGGTTTACGCCATTCTCCTGCCTCAGCCTCCTGAGTAGCTGGGACTACAGGCGCCCGCCACCTCGCCCGGCTAGTTTTCGTATTTTTTAGTAGAGACGGGGTTTCACCGTGTTAGCCAGGATGGTCTCGATCTCCTGACCTCGTGATCCGCCCGTCTCGGCCTCCCAAAGTGCTGGGATTACAGGCTTGAGCCACCGCGCCCGGCCTCTTTCTTTTCTTTCTTTCACCCAGGCTGGAGTGCAGCACACTGTAACCTCAAGCTCCTGGACTTCCGAGTAGCTGGGACTACAGGCACACCCCACCATGGCCCACTAATCTTTTTTTTTTTTTTTTTTACTGTCTTTAGAGACCGGGGTCTTATTCTGTTGCCCAAGGATGATCTCGAACTCCTGGGCTCAAGCAGTCTTCCCACCTTGATCTCCCAAAGTGCTGGGATTATAGATGGGAGCCACCATGCCCAACCTTTATTTTTTTAATTGGCAAGTAAAAATTGTGAAGACTTATGGTGTACAACATGCTGTGTTGATAATGTGTATACATTTTGGAATGGTTAAATCAAGCTCTTTAACGTGTATCACCTCACATACTTACTTTTTTGTGGTGAGAACACTTGAAATCTACTCTCCGCAATTTTAAAGTATATAATATGTTGTTACTAACTATAGTCACCATCACTATGAAGTACAATCGATCTCTTGAACTTACTCATATCTGCCTGACATTTTGCATACTTTACATCTCCCCGTCTCCCAACCCCCAGCCTCTGGGAACCACCATTCTACTTTCTGCTTCTGTAAGTCCAACTTTATTTGCTTTAGAGGTGGTGCCTCACTCTGTCACCCAGGCTAGAGTGCAGTGGCACACTCATGGCTCACTGCAATCTCTAATTTCTGGGCTCAAGTGATCCTCCCGCCTCCGTCTCCCAAATAGCTGAGACCATAGGTGTGTGCCATCACGCCCCCAGCTAATTTTTAAATTTTTTTATAGAGATAAGGTCTCACCATGTTGCCCAGGCTGGCCTCAACCTCCAAAGTGCTGGGATTGCAGGTGTGAGCCATTGCACCAAGCCTGAGTCGACCTTTTTGGATTCCTCCACACATAAGTGAGATCATGCAGTACTTGTCTTTGTATGCCTGGCTTATTTCTTTTAAGATAATATTTTCCAGGTTTATCTGTGTTGTCTTAAATGACAGGCTTTATTTTGTTGTTGTTGTTAAGACTGAATAGATTCTGTTGTGTATGTATGCTGCATTATCTTTATCTCCTCATCTGTTGATGGATACTTAGGTTGATCCCCTATCTTGGCTATTGTGAATAGTCTTGCAATAATCATGAGAGTTCAGATATCTCTTCAACATACTGACTGCATTTTTTTTGGGATATATACCTAGTAGTTGGTTTTAGATCCATCTCATTAATAGCTACATGAAAGACAAAAAGAGAAAAGAGGAATAATCCAGCTATCTGAAATCATGAAAAAAGAAATTTATACCTTCCACTGAAAAAATGTAACTCCATACTGTGTGACTCAAGTGTGTACCCCCAGCGAATGCAATCTACCCTTGACCTAGGGTTCAGCTTCTCCTGGGGTTAGAGTGAAGCAGCTTCAGCTCCCCCTAGAGATGAGAATGTAAAGTCAGCACACCAGAGGGATGATTGTGAACTTCAGAACCTGACCAGCATCAGTTGAAACATTCCTCTCCCACTTACTCGTCTGACTCGTTAGGTATAAGGGTACCCCTCTATAAGGTTTGGAGGATTCAGTCATTAGGTAAAACATTTAGTGAAAGCTTAATTTGTTGCAGCTGTGGCTGTTATTTTCATCTTGCTGCTGTTTTCATTTCGCTAATGTTAGGTTTCCAAGAGAAATTCAGAATGTGTTTTTCCTTGTGTAAGGCAAAATTTCTCCAATAAGATGACACAGATCTTTGTTGTGGAACGTTGCAGGATGTTTAGGGGATTCATCATCTTGGGCTGCCATTACAAAATACTGCAGACTGGATGGCATGAACAACAGATTTATTTCTCACAGTCTAGAGCAAGCTTGTCCAACCATGCAGCCCAGGACAACTTTGAATGCCCAACACAAATTCGTAAACTTTCTTAAAACATTATGAGACTTTTTTAAAGCTCATCTGCTATCATTAGTGTTAGTGTATTTTATTTGTGGCCCAAGTCAATTCTTCTTCTTTCACGGTGGCCCAGAGGAGCCAAAAGATTGGACACCCCTGGCCTAGAGGCTGGAAGTTCAAAATCAGCGTGCCAGCAAGGTCAGACTCTGGTGAGGACTCTCATCCTGGCCTGTAGACCAGTGTTCTCCTGTGTCCTCGCATGGGAGAGAGGGAGAGCAGGGTGGGAGGGAGGAGAGAGCAAGCTACCTGTTATCTCTTCTTATAAGGACACTAATCTCATAATGAGGGCCCCATTATCATGCCTCATCTAAACCTCATCATTTCCCAAAGGTCCCATCTCCAAATAACCGTCACATTGAGAGTAAGGACTTCAACATATTAATTTGGTGGGGCAGGGAGATAAAATTCACTTCATAACATTTAGCATTTCTGGCCTTTGACACTAAATACGAGTAGCACCCCACAGTCATTGTGACAATAGAAATGCCTCCACCCTCACCA